TTTGGCCTTTGTCTGTCTGCTTGTTAATTTTGGAATCACTTTCTAAAAATGCATGTAGAAAATCATGTTGACTAAAAATTTAAATACTGGTATATTTTAGGGATCAAATTAGTTATTCTTCTTTCTGATCACTAGTTCAGGTCCAGTACTTGGAAGAGTTTACTGATCCTGAAAGTAGCTTTTCTCTTCCTGCCAAAGTTATTCTAGCTCAGGCAAGCCATAAGGTGATGGTCCCATACAATCCTATTTTTCTGACTACTTTGTTTTTTTCTATTTTTTGTGATATTTTTGTATTGACTTATTATATGAAAACACAAAAAATTGAAAAAGTTAAATAACGTACTGCTGGGATATGTTTCCAAATACCACATGCTTCGTAGGGTCTCCAGTAGAATTATGCAGTTTTACAACTCATCAAAGCTGCACGACCAGATAATACAAAACCAAACAACACTACATAGACATAACACATTAGGGTGGGAGTTACAGTAGAAAAATAGGAGAAGACATAAATAGGAAAAGGAGGGTAGGAAGGGACTTGGGAGGGGAGGGAAAGGAGGAAGGGAGGAGCTAGGTGGATTGGAGGTCTGGTATTTAGTAGTTTCAATGATTTGTATCCAAATGTATCTAAAAATGGGGTCTAATTTCTTCGAACTCATAACTTGGACATGAGTTTTAGCAGCTTATATCTGAGGCCTTGGCTACACTTAGGACTTCCCAGCGCTGCCGCGTGAGTGTAGTCGCGCTGCCAGCGCTGCGAGAGCGCTGCGAGAGCTCTCTCGCAGCGCTGTAAGTACTCCATCTCTCCGAGGAGAATAGCTTGCAGCGCTGTGAGCGAGCGTGCAGCGCTGCAGGCTCTGATTACACTGGCGCTTTACAGCACTGTACTCGCTGCGCTCGGGGGGGGGCATTTTCACACCCCTGAGTGCAGCAAGTTGCAGCGCTGTACAGCACCAGTGTAGCCAAGGCTTAAGAGTTTAGAGTGGAAAGTTTCTGTTGTGTGGGCTTGGCAAAAAAATACATTCTCTCTTTGATCCAGCTGGGTGGCTGTAGAGTGGTAGCTGCTGGCTGGGAGCTCAGCTCTGAAGGCAGTGCCACCGCTAGCAGCAGCGCAGAAGTAAGGATGACATGGTATGATATTTCCACCCCTTACTTCTGTGTTGAGGCCTTCAGAGCTGGGTCCTCAGCCAGCAGCTGCCACCATCTCTAAAGGCCGCAGTGAAGAAGGGTGGCATGGTATGGCACTCTTTGCACTGCTGCTGGCAGGGTACTTCCTTCAGAGCTGGGCACCCAGCCAGCAGCCGCCGCTCTCCAGCCACCCAGTTCTGAAGGCAGCGTCGCTGCCAGCAGTAGGCATAGAAGTAAGTGGGGCAATACCATGACCTCCCTACAATAATCTTACGATTCCCCCCTCACAAACTTTTGTGTTGGGACCCCCAGTTTGAGAAATGCTGGTCTCCCCTGTGAAATCTGTATAATATAGGGTAAAAGTACACAAAAGACCAGATTTCATGGGGGAGACCGTGTTTTCACGGCCGTGAATTTGGTAGGGCCCTAACTATAGGGCAGGTTCCCAGGCTCAGACCTGCCTATCTTCCTTGGGATGTAGGATGCCTTTGTACAGCTGTCCTAGACCCTGAAATGGTTGTTTGAACCCCTCTGAGCCGCTTGAGTAGCTTGCATGTGCTCCCTCAGAGTTCCACCTAGGTTGTAAGTACTCTGGGTTTCTAGTTTAACCCTTTCAGGGACTACATGGCAGGAAAGCAAGGAACACAGGCATAGCAAAGGATTTTCTTAACCACAGTGATTTTACTTCTAAATGACTCAGAGTTACAGATCTTTGAAAATAACGCAAGTCCTGAGACATACTCTCCCTTAGTCTGAGCTCACTTTTTCTGTGAGCCTGAGGTTCGGCAGCATTTCAGGCTGGGCAGAGTCCATCCTGTCCTCTCTTCCTTGCAAGTCATAAGAATATAAGAACGGCCATACCAAAGGTCCATCTGGCCCAGCATCCTGTCTTCCAACAGTGGTCAATGCCAGGTGCTTCATAGGGAATGAACAGAACAGGTAATCATCACGTGATCCATCCCCTGTCGCCCATTCCCAGCTTCTGGCAAATAGAGGCTAGGGACACCTTCCACGTCCATCCTGGCTAATAGCCACTGATGGACCTATCCTACATGAATTTATCTAGTACTTTTTTGAACCCTGTTATAGTCTTGGCCTTCACAACATCCTCTGGCAAAGAATTCCACAGATTGACTGTGTATTGTGCAAAGAAATATTTCTTTTTTGTTTATTTTAAATCTGCTGCCTATTAATTTCATTGGGTGACTCCTAGTTCTTGTGTTATGAGAAGGAGTAAATAACATGTCCTTATTTACTTTCTCCACACCCGTCATGATTTTTTAGGCCTCTATCATATCCCCCCTTAGTCGTCTTTTTTCCAAGCTGAAAAGTCCCAGTCTTATTAATTGCTCCTCATACAGAAGCTGTTCCATATCCCACTTAATTTTTTTTGCCCTTTTCTGTACCTTTTCCAACTCCAATATATCTTTTTGAGATGGGGCGACCACGTCTGCACGCAGTGTTCAAGATGTGGGCATACCATGGATTTATATAGAGGCAAGATGATATTTTCTGTCTTCTTATCTGTCCCTTTCTTCATGATTCCCAACATTCTGTTCGCTTTTTTGATTGCCGCTTCACATTGAGTGGATGTTTTCAGAGAACTATCCACAATGACTCCAAGATCTCTTTCTTGAGTGGTAACAGCTAATTTACCTGTATAGTTTTATATTTATATTTCATTTTATATTTATAGTGGGGTTATGTTTTCCAATGTGCATTACGTTGCATTTATCAACATTGAATTTCATCTGCCATTTAGTTGCCCAGTCACCCAGTTTTGAGAGATCCCTTTGTAACTCTTTGCAGTCTGCTTTGGACTTAATTATCTTGAGTAATTTTGTATCATCTGCAAATTTTGCCACCCAACTGTTTACCCCTTTTTCCAGATCATTTATGAATATGTTGAACAGTACTGGTCCCAGTACAGACCCTTGGGGAACACTACTGTTTACCTCTCTCCATTCTGAAAATTGACCATTTATTCCTACCCTTTGTTTTGTATCTTTTAACCAGTTACTGATCCATGAGAGCACCTTCCCCCTTATCCCATGACAGTTTACTTTGCTTAAAACCTTTGGTGAGGGATCTTGTCAAAATCTGAAAATCTAAGTAAATTTTATATCCACTGGATTCCCCTGGTCCACATGCTTGTTGACTAGAATTCTAGTAAATTGGTGAGGCGTGATTTCCCTTTACAAAAACCATGTTGACTCTTCCCCCAACAAATCATGTTCATCTATGTGTCTGATAACACTACTCTACAGCCAAAATGCTTCTGAAATAAATGTAGTCAAACTTTACTA